CTGAAATTTCTTTCTTCAATAACATGTATGGAGGTCACAACACTTCCAGATGATCAAGATCAAGAAAAATAATTTGTGGCAGCGGATTGTGGCAGCGGAGTGAAGATATGTGTGTAGAGGTCCGGCGGGCGGCCAAGGCGAGGCTGCCGCCCGCCGGGGGAGCAGAATTACTAGCTTCTTTAACCTTGCTCTGATACCATGAAAGAATTTATGTATTTATTGATTGTTGTTGTATATTCATATTACAATTACAAGGATTCCTATTATATAGGAGTGTGTTTGGGAGTAGGTGGAGAGTAGGTGAAGTGGAGGTGGTAGTGGTGTAGTGGGTTAGGTTTAGTGGAGTAGGTGAGGTGGTAGTGGTGGTAGGTTTATGGTAAATTCTAACAGCCCCCCGCAAACTCAAGGAGGATAGAAACTAACCATAGGTGAAGTGGAGTGTGTAGTGGAGTAGGTGAAGGTAAAGATGGGAATCAGTTTTGTATATAAAAATGGATGGTGAATAAATTAACGGTTGACAAAAATTTGTTTTGATCACATAGCTATCGATATCCGATCAACGTGATTTTTTACAGGCATATAGTACTCGACGAGTTATACACATTAAACGGTTCAGATTATCAAAACGGGATCCGTGGTGGGCCTTCACGGGCCCAACAGTACGGTCCAGTCCGATTAAGGACTGGACATAAGCCATTCCCTTAAAAAAAATCAACCTAACCTTTAATTCTCATTAATTATCTAAGCTGAACATTTGGAAATTTATTAATACTAGGACACCAAAGTTATTATAAAACAATGATAAAATTGTTAGCATAGCATTTTAGAAGGACGGTACAAAATTTTGAACATAGAAAGAATCACACATATACGTAGGATAATTATTCAGTAATTTTAAAATATGAATACGTGGTATTTTATAATATTTTGATTGGTAGAGAAAGTGAATAGGTGGGGTATTGTGTTAGGTGATTAGGGAACATGAAGAAGCATATTAAATGATAATTGATTAGAGAATATAGACACGTAATATTGTGAAAATATTTAATAATTCCCGGTAGGTAAGATAAGGGATGAGAGCCACTACATTTGGAGTCTAAGGCTTCGTTTGGGAACAGGTTTTTTTAGTAACTTTTTAGTTTTTTAGCTAAAATGTAATGTAAAAAAACTAGTATATTTAGGATGACTTTTTGACTTTTTACGAAAAGATGTGCAAAAAGTAGAGAGAAAAGAGAATATTTGACTTTTTAGTATGGGTTGTTGGCTTTTGATTTTTTTAGTGACTTTTTGGCTAAAAAAGTCACTTGCCAAACGAGACCTAAATTTGTTAAAGTTGGAGATCTTAATTTCACGGTAAAGTTGACCTATTATTGAATAAATTTGGATTTGTTTTTGTGATCTAAATAGTTCATCTTATACAAGCTAACTAAAAAAAATTATTTGTGTAAAAAATTAAGTTAATTCAATATTGATTGTCATACCATTAGATTAGTTTTATCTGTAGAGCTTACATATTTTTAAGAATTGACCGTCCGTGTGTTATAATATATGTGATTTGATTATTTGATTACTTATGTGTAATTAATCAAAATTTTTACATGAATATTCTTCTAAACTTGTCATATAAGATGAACGATTCAAATAATTAATATGAGTACAAATTAATCCTACAATACACCAATTTCACTCGTAAAATGAGATTTCCAACTTTAACAAATTACATTTGGGTCTTACCACATGCCCACTCTTTATCTCAAGTTTATGATTGTTTCCTTATTTTGATTTTGTATTCTTAAAGTTTCCTTTTAAACGAGAGGCATGGAGTTACTGGTTTGCTTATTGATTAAAAGACAATGCTATACAAAGTACGGATAAGTTTATTTTAAAAATATATAAAAAAGAAATTTAGAATGCAAAATATGGTCCATTTTTTTAAGATGATAAATATCACAAAGAAAAGATTGTAAAATTTGTTTATATGACGTCAAATTGTGCATATATGTCATGTGCACATGGCTACGTGTGAATGAATATAATGAAATAACTAAAAGAGAGGGACATAAAGCTAGAAATCAACTTATTCAACTACCAATCCATTTGTGGATAGAGGTGACTTTCAAGTCTCAAGAAAAAATTCTCAGCATTCTAATACATGTTATCTTTTAAACTAATTGAACAAAATGATTAACTAGTGAGCTTTCAGTCACAGAAAATTCAGTCTTCATCTGTGTACTTCTCGATTCTGTGGCCACGAACATTCCGAGTCAAAATTCAACTATAACACTAAATATCATATGGGTAGTGATGCAGCTCTAGGTTTTCAAAATGTAAGTTATGATCACATAATTGGAGAACTTTATGAAATAAGAGTCAGGCAACCAAAAATTCAGCAAATATACCTTCAAAATAAATGGGTAGAACTAAGGTATTAAGCAGCAACCAAATTTGCAGAGATATGAATCTAAACAAACCACTTCATAAAACTGAATTCCACCAATGTTAAGTAACAAACAAGTAACTATGAGCAATAAAAATTGAATTCAAACCTAAGAGGTACCAAGCCAGGGGAATTAATGGGCTGGAAATGGAGCAGGGGCAGAGGAAGGGATAGGTAGCAACAACAAAAGCAATTTAATTTTCAAATTCTGTCTTTCATGAGTCAATCTTTGCTTACTATTATCAGAAAGTTCGTTATAGACTCATTTCGGTTAAAAATAATTAATTCAATTAATGAACTCCGAAGCATATCATCGAGGACAAAATTAAGAAGAAAAAGCTGAAAGCTATTTTTAGCATTAAGTTCAACAAACTTTCAATAACAATTGGACCGGTCAAAGCTTGGTGAGCCCACCCATTCTACTTTTTGGCTGCCTACATTTGTTACACAAGTCTTACATTACTTAAGCTTTAGGATCTTGGCATTAATGAGGCAATTCCTTAAGCTAAATAACGTACTTTATTGTGATTATACAAATAGATTATATGTGTAAAATATGACTTTAATGGATGGTTGTGATTGTTTTGGCCTTGTCATGTTTGATTTGGACCATTGGACAAGATCTAGGATAGACCATTTGGACTAGAGTTTTTTTAAGACTTGGTGGTCTTCATTTTTGTTGCACAAAACTCTGTTCTTCCTCTCTCCTCAGCCGAACCTACCATAGCGCTCCCTCCCTTAGATTTTTTAATTCAACAGCTCCATTCTTGAAGCTTTAAAGGTTGGTTCAGGTCATTGCCATTGACCTAAGACCTTCCTAGAGTGAGTTAGAAACCTTTAGCACTTGGAGGCTTTGGTTCATCATTGAATCCACTTGCTTGGAGCTTGGGTGATCTTGGAGCCCATCATCAACCTAGCCTCTCCAATTCCTAGTTCTTAGAAGCTTTGTAGTAGGATTTCTACCTCATGTTGTATATATTTATAAACATGCCTAGGTTTGGATTTATAATTCAAGAGAATACAAGTTGGAGTTGATTTATATATGTCATTGAAGTATGCTATAATATGCATACTGTGGGAGAGTGGTTTGGAAATACTCTTTGGATCCAATAGGACGCTCGAGATCCACAGCTAGTCACCTGAAAAGGAATGAACACTCCAGTCGGGAGTGCCAGAATTAACACTCCGACGGATAAATCAGTGTATACTCTCTTGGTTGCTTGTATTTTAAGTTAAGCTTGCTTTTTCTCACATACCTTTCTTTGACTGTTGTTCCTCTATTTATACTCGCTTCCTGGGCCTCGAGACCTGGCCCACTTTTCACCCATTATCCTCTTATTTATTTGGCTCCATAATCCAATAACTATTCGGCCTATTTATTATATTCGGCCTCCGGATCATGCAAGATAGGGCCGAATAATGTCTATCTCCTAGGTCTCCAAGTGTATACTCGGCTCATCTGATTCTGCTATTATTCAGCTCCCACACATACTTTCCATGTTTTCAAGTTTGTGATTTGCCTATTTTGAGTTTTAAACGAGTATGACTTAGGGTTTGATCTCCTAAATATGCATGTTTTAGAAGTTGTTGGTATTAAAAGTGTATACACTTCAAAGCATGAATCTTTGATATCCATGTTAAAATATTATTTTTAGATAGCTTGGGGTATGAGCATGCTATAGTTAAAAGATGAGTCATTTTAATTGCTTGTGCCATTATGACATATATATGAATATAAATATTTTTTAAAATATTTTTATTTGCCATGTATATGACTATAAATGTAGCGCACAGAGACATAAAATGCATCAATGTACACGTGGCTGTGTTTTTTTTCCCCATTTTCGCTCCTCTTTATTTCCATATATTTTGCTTTGACCCCAAATCGACTTTCTAAAATTTTAAAAAAAAACTCAAAGAGCCGTCCTGAGCCGTGTCCAATCACAAAACAACCATGTCTGTGAAGTGTCTTGCAAAAATAAATAATTCAAAAAATTGACATGCTATGAGGTGTTTCCGATACATGGACAAGCGTGTCCACAGCATGTCAGTGTCTGATTCATGTCAAACATGACACCCATTTTAGAGTGTCCTTGCTTCCTAGGGTCCACCTACAAGAATATTTTAGATATACAAAAGAGGAGAAAAAAAATCAATGCCCAAAGAACAAGCTCAAGATCCAAGAGTAAATATTCTAAATTGTCACATTGTATTGGTTCATTTTGTCTTTCAAAAATCTGAAATACGCTCCCTTAATATACCAAAGAATCACAACATAGCACATGTTAAAAAGCAACTTTGAGGATGCTGGTATTTTTTAACAAGCTTTAAAATTCAAATAGCAAGAATTAAGGATTAACCCCTACTAGATAAATATTTCTCTACAATCACTTTAAACAATAATATTATTACAAGAAAATAAATAAGAATGTCCAATTTTCCAACTTTAAGTAGGCAAATAATACAAAAGAGCAAGGAAGAGCCAATTTTCCAACCAAGAAAAAAAACGTCACAGGAAGGGAAGAGGTGATCACTAATAAAAGCACTCAAGTTAAGAAGATACCTCAATTTTGCTAACCGGTTCATGCAAGCAGCAGCAGCATGTGCATTGTAGTCCCTCAAAAGTACAGAGTAAAGACCATCTTTATTGCCATTTCCTGGAAAGAATGCATCATTTAAAAGTATCAAAATTTTGTCTTGTCAATAATCAAGAAAAGAAGGTAACATAAATTTAAGTAAATTACACTTTTCACTCTTGAACTTCACTCGAATTTTACAATGGGCCCTCATCTTTTAATTGAAACAATTAAGTACTCAGACTTCAAATCCTATTTAATTATGGTCCTCCTGTCACTTACCATTCAAAACATACATGCATAATGTTTGTTTGGTGCAACTTATTGTAAGCTAACAGCTGATCATCAAATGGCAGAAGCCAAAAGCACCCCTCTCCCAGCTTTCACATAATCAGCTTTTTCTCACTTATTTAACCTATTTTTGCCTAATAAGCTATAAGCAAAAATTGCACTAAACAATCTAGCATAGACTTCAAAAAACTAAAAATAATAAAATAAGCAGCTCAGATAAGTTGAACCAAACAACCCCACAACAAAGTACATTTTCTATTTTGCCTAACCAATTTGCCTAGTGTGTACTCCAACAACACTATTCCTAAAATTCATTTGCCTAGCCTCGAAGGCTCTCCAAATGTAGCTAACCAAGAGAGGATGAGGCAAAATACCTACCAAATTGCTTATCCGATGTTGAAGCTCCATTCTACGATGAGGATAGGCCAAATGCCTAAAATGCTCTAAATGCCTCTCCTATTGGAGACACTAACATCTCTTATGAATTTTGCTACTTCGTTTAATGATTGATATCTTATAAGGCCTAAGCTTACATATAATCTTTACACAAAGTTACATAAATGTATAAATAAATATACATCATTTGGAGAGCTAAAACTTGTAGAGCTAAACTGTTTGGAAAATAATTTCAAGATCACTCTACGCCCCAGCCGTAATTTACATCAAGTTTGGCTGTGTACTGTTTTAATCAGCTTGGGAAAAAAAATCAATAAACAATTAAAATGGTGAAGAAAGTCTTAGAATTCTAGAATAATAAAGCAAAACTGTTTACATGCTGTTACAATTTACATCAAGTTTGGTTGTGTGCTGTTTTAATCAGCTTGGAAAAAAATAAATAAATAAACAATTAAAATGGTGAAGAAAGTCTTAGAATTCTAGAATAATAAAGCAAAACCTGTTTACATGCAGTTACAATTCTGGCAAAGAAAAGAATAAATAAACATGTTTGAGGCTGATCACTCATTGACATTATAGGACACCAATTTGGAACCTGAAATTAAATGCTTACGTAAATGTAAGACAATTAGTTAATGGTGTTCATTAAACATAAACATAAACATAAACAAAAACAAAAACAAAAACAAAAAAAAAAGTGGCATTTTACCAAATATGATTTTATGCAGTTTGTTTTTATCAGAATTTATTTATTTATTAAAAAATGTATTTCTGAAGTTAATATTTAATTTTTATTTATTTGATAAATGAAGTTAATATTTTATTTGACTATTAATTCCATTGAGTACATCCAAAGATCTACTTGTTATTGGGATCTTAAGCTCCCACCCATAATACCATTGATCTTACTGTATAGAATCCATTCAGATGGTCTAACTCTTAAAAATAATCTGCTATCAAATAAGAAATAAATAATTAAGTAAAAGATATAAAATAAAAATAAAAAGAGGAACAAAAAAAAAAAAAAAAAAACTCTCTTGTTCATATCAAATAAATCCTATGTAACATAGAAGAAAACGTAGGTTCTCCCCCAGCAGGATGCAGCAGAAACAGAGGAGATAACAAAATCAATCAGGAGCTCAGCAAATATCATCGGAAAATTACAATGAAGAGTCAATCACTAATGAACTCTGCTCTGTCCAAAAAAGAAATGTACAGTGTCATCTATTAATTAAAGCCACATGTTCTAAAATGCGGTACAATATGGGAAGACTCTATTTGACATCCAATATATTATAGTGTATTTTTCTCCAAATTAATTGTTCAACAACACAATTCTAGAGCATTATGAAGCATTGTTTCACATGCTGTCAATCCAAAACTACACTCCATTTAGATTTTAATTCATTATATGACTTTTTCCCTATTAAGAACTTTTAATAAATAAAAAAAAACAAAAGAAAATTTATGGGATCATTTTGGAACGCTAAATTTACTTTTTGGAACATCATGTTTCGGAACATTAGTTTCAATCTGTAAATCACTATTGTGTTAGTGTTTTTTGGTACCACTACTCGCAGAAGTCGAACACTAAGCACAATACTGACAAAAATATTTTACAAAAATTCCATAAACCTGACAAATTTTGTAATTTGGAGTCCAACAACTTTCTTTACGCCTAAACAGTGTTTTTAAAGGCTCAAGGCGCTGAAGGTCTCTTGGGGCCTAGGCGCCAGGCGAAGCGCGGGCTTTATTGAAGCAAGGTGCATAGCCTTAGTAAAAAATAGATAAATTAACATAGACTAATCATTCATAATACTAAGACAATTTTTTTAAAAAAAATAAAAAGTAATCAAGACAAATTATAAAATAATTCTCAAAGCCATGAAAGTACATATTACATAGCATTCCAATTTTCAAAGATAAAATAATCCACATTCAACAAAAAAACATAAATATCCAACAAATACTAATATAAGTCTTAACATTTCAAAACATCAATATCATAAGAAAGGGTAGGTTAGGTCATATTATTTGTAATTTTTTTTTTTTCCTAACAGAGACAGGAAACAAAACAGACCAACAGTAGCAGAAAAAAAAGAAGAAGAAGAAGAAAAAAAACAGAGAGCAACGAAGAAAAAGGGGAAGGAGGAGGAGAAGAAACAAAAGCGACGAAGAAGCAGCAAAAAAAAAAAACAAACGAAGATACAACAGCACCAGCAAAGAATGAGAGGAGAAGAAGGAGAAGGAGGAGGAGGAGGAAAAAAACATAGAGACGACAGCAAAGAAGAAGAAGCAGCAGCAGGCAAAAAAAAAAAATGAATTGAAGCAGCACAGCGAAGAAGAAGAAGACCCACCTCAAGCTTTCTTCGCAATGAGCCCAGAGGAAGAGAAGAGACGAAAGACGAAGCAACACAATCCTCAATGAAAGACGAAGTCGCGATGAGCCCAGAGGAAGAGGAGATGTCGCGATGAGCCCAGACGAAGTCGCGACACCTCAAGCTTTCTTTGATAGATTTTAGGGTATTGAGGAGTCTACTGATTTAGGTATTGAGTTGTATAAGTTGTAACCGTATGTGGCTGTTAGACCCTCTCAAACTCATATAAGAGCCATTAGATCAGCATCAAAGGGGGGGAAAAATACACAAAGGCACGCTTAGGTGTCGCCTTGCGCCTTTCTACGCCTAACCCAAGGCTCAGCCAAGGCGCGCGACTCATCTACCTCGCCTCGCCTTGGGTCCCTTCAGTCGCAACAGCTGCGCCTCGCTGCGCCACTGCGCCTAAATAATACTCAATTCCATTTCTCCTCATTCCCACTCCAAATTCGTGATTCAGATTCTCAAAAACCAAGCATTGTTCCGATAATACTCTCATTTTACACTAAATAAATTGCTCTTGGGCTTTCACTAGACAGATCTGAATATGTTGCATCAATATGCTAAACACAATAGAAGGGCATAGCCTCTACCAAGATTTGTAGTTTTCTCATTGGAATAATTTTTCCAATTTAAAATGATGGAATGACAAGTTTTTCAATTAACCTCTGAACCTCTGAACTTCGCTGCAAATATACCCTACAAGGGAGCCAAATCCACACCACGTGTGTCCAATACCAAAACTATATGGAAGGAAAACCTTGTCACATCCAAGTCATAAACAATTTTTAAATTTCAAACAACTGACTTCAAATTGTATCTTTCTAATTTACAAAAACACCAAATTAAAAATAAAATAAAATAAATCAATTGTGAAGAAACAACATAATAAGCATTTGCACAAAACTAAATTGAAACATTCAACAATTTCTACAGAAGGAGGACAAAATAAGGGCATCAATCAAACGACACAAACGAGGATGGAAAAAGTGAGGCAAATATAAGACTAGGTAACCATTGCTAGCGTTCTTTAAATAAGAGAACAGATATTTCCCTAATAAATTGTCCACTGGATTTCTTCTAAAAGCTTGAAGGAAACCATTTTGCAAAAATGGAAAGAAGCATAGTAATTTGTGCATTGATACATAATCTTCATCTTGAGCACAATCGCCAAATATTTGAAACTCTGCAGTGCAAGCTACAGGGATGGCTGGCCACATTAGGGGATGCTTCACTTGTTTATATGGGTTACAAGATACAGTTAATGCTCATGATTTATGCTGTAAATGGACAGTCTCTAGCATGGGAAAATTAGAAGAGAAGTTACATTTCTCCCTTCATGAGATCTGTGTGGATATGTTGTGGCTCTATGGGGTTGACCCTCTAGATTTTTGTGGATGGTCACTGTATGCAGTATATAGTTTCTTTTGAACCTCTAATATTCATAGTTAGCTTGCAACAAAAAGGGGGTTCCCAATGGGAACAACGAAAATATGTCATAAATTATGGTCTTCGATCCATATATATTCTACAAGAAGTTTCTAAAAACATAGTAGAAATGGGACAAGCAAATATCTTCACAAGTGAGATTTTTTGGTACAAGGAACAGGAACGGGAATGTGATACTCCACATGCTCTAAAATGTGGTACGATAGGGGTACACTTCTTAATTTGACATCCAATATATTATAGTGCACTTTTCTTCAAATCAATCATCTAACAACACAATTCTATGAGCATTATGATCTATTGTTTTACATTTTATCAATCCAAAGCTCCACTCTATCAGATTTTATTTTTTCTCTATTAAAGAGAACGTATGATGAAAACCTTTGTGACGAAAGATTTCAAATTAATCTCTTATGATTTTTTTCTCGTTTTGGATGGTTAGATTCACCGTTTTGAAACAAAAATGTACCATATTTCGGAACGTAGGTTCCAAAACGTAAATCACTATGGGGGTAGTATTTATGGGTAACACTGAGTGAAACCAAATAATAATAAAAAAGTTACAATTCATCAAGTTTGGCAGTTTCAGTCACATTAGGATTTTGTCCTCCAAAAGTGGGAAGGAAGAGGGGAGGGGGGGGAGTTACTATAGGAATTTTAATAAATAAATCGTATTGTTTCACTTTAATGTTTGTGGGGTCAAGAACAAAATTTTAGATAAAACCCTATAGGACAAGAAGCCACAGGAAACAAAGTGTTTGCCATAGCAGGGAACTTGTATGATAACTACTATTAAGGAATAAGCCGACAAAAAGATGATGATAATGAAAGTAACTTCGTCGCTGCGAAGTCTCATCAACAGTGCAGAATCAACGATGAGCCACGAGCCATCTGAGATAAATAAATCCAACACTTCCAATCATCAGACAAAAATAATAATGGGCACAAGAAAGAAGGGCTAGATAGAGAATGTTGTGACAATGGAGAACAGAGGAAAAGCAGAGAACAAGGCATAAAAACTAAACAGATAAGAAAAAGACAGAGGCGGAGGCGGAGAGAATCAGAAAGAGTAAGAAGAAACTGACTAGAGGGAGACATAGAAATAGAACAGAGAGACCCATGCCATACTAAGAAGAGAGCAACAGCCACATATCTATGAATTTGCAAGCACGTGTGACGAAATTAAGGTTCTAATAACCTAATAATAGCCTTAGTCCGTTTGCTTATGTGTTCAAATCCAATGATGCAGCGCATAACTTTACTTAAGTAGTCATGTGCCACACATGTGACTACTTAATATGATGCGGACATCCCCCACAACAAGATATAAGAAAGACAATCTGAAATCATTAACAAAACTATTTGACCGAAAAATAATAAATAAAACAAATAAATAATCTGTACAAACCAAAAGTTACATCACCTTGTATTCCCAAAAAAAAACACAAGATGTTAACATAAAATATTTGTAGTATATAAAAAGGATATCAAGGAGAAAAAATTCCACTACATTTGTACTTAGAAAATATGAGGAAGAAGAACTCCGAAAATATGAGGAAGAAGGAATATATTTCTGTTATATTCAAAACTTCTTATTTTACAAGACCAAATGACACTCCTTATATAACATTGAGTTACATGAAATTACTAAAATGCCAGGCATAATTGCATTTGTACATCTTTCTACACGTGCAGAAGGTGAGTTTGGCAATCTTACGAGTCTTTCAGAACAAATCATAAATTTGTTTCTTATTTCCCATTTGAATTGAGATATAAAATTAGAGCTGGTTAGAAAAGTGATGACCCGTTCCGTCACTATCGAAGTTCTTATCAAGCACTAGGAACTATTATCTTCCCACAAAGGAGGCCCATGAATTTTATAAAAGATTGCTTTTTCAAAATAATATCTTAAGATAGACACAGAGAAAAGGAAACTAACAAAGTCAATGTATATAATTCATAACACAATTACAAAAGCCTTCCTTCACTCATTTACGGATAAATATGTCATACAATAAATAACACAATGTTTTGCAAAACCAACTGAAACAATAATACAGATATATAACCCATGAAGATAAAGTAAAGAATTTTGAAAGGAAACCAACCTAAAGTCGCCTTTCCTAGCTGCCCACATATTAGCTCACTGTTTCGGAAATAAACAAACCCATCATTGGGACACATTGTCTCTCCAGATTTGCTATAATTTTTTTCCCTAACACTCAGATTGAGATAGACTCTCATATTTGCATCTGGGCGCAATAGAACATTGAATAATTGTTTCCCAGTCCAAAGCTCTATCGGCTGCAAAACAACAATTCGATTTAATTCAAAAAAGTCAAGCACAAGGTATATTATTTAAAGTCTACAAACAATATCAATGTGCTGGTTCATATACAAAAGACTTGTAATAGAAAAGACAATAACATTCCATAAAGAAGCCTTCAATACATTCAATGGTAGAGTTCATATTTGCTAAAATTGAAAATCTCAACTTCACCTAAAGTAGGTGCATTATAGGACCAATCTGCACCCATTTCAGTGATCTGAACAGTTCATCTCATATGAAAAGTTGAGAGAACATGTATGCAAAAAATTGGGTTGATCAAACATAAGGAATCACATGATCAAGTCACATATATATTACAACAAATGGAGGGTCTATTCTTAAAAACGTGTGTTGTATGGATAAAAATGATCTGATCGTATGACAATCAATTTTGGATCAACTTGATTTTTTGCATGGATAATTTTCTCTATTGATTGTATGAGATGAATGGCATAGATCACCGAAGTGGGTCCAATTTAGTCCAATAATGGGCCAACTTCACCGTGAAACTGAGATCTTCAACTTCAACAAATCCAAACTCTCAATGGTTTTAAATTTTCAAAGAGTATAATCTTTTTTTTTAATGGGGAACAAAATGGATTTTATTGAAGAAAAGGAAATGAAATACAAGAGAGAACAAGCAGTCCTCAATGATCAAACATGAAGAACTGTAATCATCATAAAAAAAAAACCATGAAACTACGCATCGCAAAGAGCCATCCAACCTATAGAGATCAACAATAGCAGGACCCCTTTAAGCGAAGGGGACGTGGAGGCCCAATAGGGTATAATCTTTTTTTTTATGGGGAACAAAATGGATTTTATTGAAGAAAAGGAAATGAAATACAAGAGAGAACAAGCAGTCCTCAATGATCAAACAACTGTAATCATCATCAAAAAAAACCATGAAACTACATATCACAAAGAGCCATCCAATCTATAGAGATCAACAATAGCAGGACCCCTTTAAACGAAGGGGACATGGAGGCCCAATAGGGACCACTAAACTCACAAGGATGCGCTGTCCTATGGGGTGAATGTAGTACCCCATTCCACATCGCTAGTGTAAGAAACGTGCTGGGTATATGAGTTCATATCTCTTCCTAGCAATGACGTGTTTCAAAGCCATTCGGAACTAGTCTAGAGCAAACAATATCATTCGTGTTTGAGATGGGGGTGTTACAATAACCTTGTGCAACTAAGAAATAAGATCGTAAAATAAGCATGGTCAAGATAAATTAAATTCAAAAAATAAAAAAAAACAAAAAAAAAAACATTAAGCTGGATGTGGTATGTTTACAAGTACTTCACAAATTCATGAGGCAGTAAAAGTAGCACAAATTGGAGTTAAAATAATAGAAAACTAATTAAGATGGTTTACTCGTGCAATGAGAACTAATAACTACACAACAGGAGTGAAGAGTTGGTTTAACATGAAATGGAAAGAACACATTGAGAGAAATGTGAGGAGAACAGTAAAGGCAAAAACTTGTGTTGACAGAAAATGGAAAGACGTGGTACTTTTTTTTAAAGTAAACCAAAAAAGAAAGCCATGGCAGTTAAGGTTTAGATTAACTAACAATGCTTCCCAAAGGAAAATAGAAGAACCAGATTCATGTAGCTAACATGTAATAGTTGAGAGAATAACACAATGTCGCAATGCGGTCTTTTCTTTTCTTTTTTTCTTTTCCAATGTTTAGTACTCATCAAGAACATCATATATCATATGTTTGTCTATGACCCTTGATTGGAGACCACAAAGATCAAAGCCCTACAGCGACTCCAAGTTTATGATGTTCATGCTCAAGTTGAAAATAAAAAGTTCTCACAAATAATAGAACTTCAAAGTTTCAAACTAAAATCAACTAAATATCAGCTTTAAACTCAGTTTTATTATAAAAACTAGTCATTTCAAGAAGCATAATTAATCATTTATGACAATGAGGATCATATAGTTTAGCTTTGATGCTCTTTGCATTCACTGTTTCTATTGATGTATTATCTCATGTTTTGTACTAGATTTTCATCAATACAGCTCTTTTCTTTGCTGATCAAAAAAAAATTTGGTTAGCATCTTCAGGTAGATGACCATGAAGCAGTAAATGCAACGATTTTTTTCTTCAGAAAAAAAAAAAAACTCTACAGCAACTAAGCTCACCATGATTTCACTAAACACAGAAAGTTGTTAATTACAGCAGTTTGATTACAGCAAGTCATAGTCACATCATGTGAACATGTCTTCTGATTCATGCTACAGTGACCACCAAAGAGAGTTTCTGAAAAAAGAAGATGCAATGACTTGCTACAGAAAACTCTTAGCTAAAGGCAGCAAAAATGATAAGCAATACACATAACCAATAAAATGCTTGACCAAATAAATAAGGTGACATCTTTCAGACACCTACATTCATTGACAAAATCACAACCATAAATCATACAAACAACCCTTTATCATATACCGTCACTAAATCACAGTCGCTTCCCAGATTTAAAATGCCTGGTATCCCCAAAAATTTCTCCATTGACAGCCCCTATTGATCCACAGTGGCCATGCAAATACATGCCTTTTTTATCCTAGATAAATTAACTCAATATCTACAGTGGCCATGTAAATATCTACAATGGCCATATGTAAATTAACTCATTGACACCCATATGTAAATTAACTCGATATCTACAGTGGCCATGTAAATACATGCCTTTTTTTTATCCTCTTATGATGATGGCTAATGCTTTCAACTAAACCACTTGCATCAATTCGTCAGGTGTCATGATATACCATTCTCATTGAGACACAAAGCATAGTATATCATCACTTCAAAGTTTGAATGATTAGTAAAAATCATTGACATAGATCAAGATTCGCTCACTATACAAAACCAAGATCAATAACTCATCCTAATAAAAGGATGAACACAACGAAAACATTAAGAAGAATGGAGGAATGATACAAAAAAATATATAATATGCTTTATGAGCAACTCCTCTTTCTTACCTTAATTAATGCAGGCGTAGGCAAATTGACTAGATCCATGCCGTCCCCCATATAAGAACAAATGAGGGAAAAGGAAGCACGATCATAAAACGTGTCCTTCCTTGTTATGAGAAAAGAAGATGTCAGAAAATCTTGTGTGGAAGCAACCAAAATCTCTCCGTTTTTTGGCGTACACAAATTATTTTGAACCTGAGAAATAATCATAAACACATCAAAATAAAAATAAAAAAAATAAGCAATGGTTAAGAACAATGCAACCCAAAAAAAAAAGGTATAGAACCACCCAATGATTGATAATTGAGCAACAAAAATATTCATTGCTTTTAAAATATTATACCATCACAAGAGGAATGGATCTAATTGAGGAAAGCTAAATTAACTTCAGTAAAAAGAAAGAATAGTAATTGAACCCCCAGAAAGTGTGTAAGCATAAATAGAGCAGTTAACAACTACACCTACCAAGATAGCTATAAGTAATAAAAGTTTGCAGCAATAAATAATAAAAAATATTTATCATTAATACAGAAATATTGAACCAAGATGTCTAATAAATCCACCAGAAACCAGCATGAGGCAACCTATCATGTGATTGACATTGGCTGGACCCTAGCAAGTTAGTATAATTAGTGCATATATAGCTTTCTTATTTCTTCAATAAAATTGCCATGGTATCAAAGCTTGATCTTCACTTTCGTAGAATAAATTGCTGGTGTATTTTTCCTTACATTTTTCATTTCTTTCCCTTTTTTCCCCTCAACCAAAAATAAATAAATTAATTAATTAATTAAAAAATCAATGTTTTCGAAGGCGTTTTTGAGGCCGCATCAGGGCAAGGCGTAACAGAAACACACCAAGGCTTGATTTTCTGTGCACAACACCAACAAATTGTAAGCCTCACGAAATGTGGTGTTTGCCTACCATGCACATTTTGCCCCAAGTGTTTGCATTTTGTGAGCTAGTAAAAAAAATTTAATTTGAATCTTACCTCGTACGCAACTTGGAGACAATCAACATTCAGGTTTGAGAATGTCTTGTTCTCTGTCTCTGTTCTCTCTCTATCGTTGGGTCTCTCTCTCTATTGTTAGGTATAAAAAATGGGGACTCTCTGACTTCCGCTTTGTTGACCAGAAGCAATTACAATGGGAGAAGATAATGGCTGGCCATTATTTATTTTTCATTTCAAGCTCTCTCTCTCTCTCTCTTTCGGTGGGTCTCTCCAACTCCCAATTTCTTGACCAGACCCTTCATCATTCATTAAAAGAGAATGGCCTTTAGTATTATAAAAAAATATTTGTATTATATTTAATTAATTTTATATTTTATAAAAGTAAAAAATTTAAAACTCAAAAAGCTTACATCTCAACACCTCACCTCATGAGCGGCAATAAGCCTCGCCTTGCTTTTTCACCTTCGACAACTTTGATAAAAATACAGGATCGTTTTTTGGGATCTGAAAGAGGGTTGTGAATTTGCTCATATCTTTTCTTAAGATAGTCATTGGGTGCTGATTTCATAGGTAGGAGGTGTTGAATATAGAAACTAGAATATTATGTTTAGAATAGGAATTAAAATATTTTTATGTTGATTGTAGGAATCTCTCTTCTTATTTATATTGTTTCCTAAAATTGTATCATGAATATGTTATATATATATATATATATGGCCTCTACCTCATTCAAAGGTAAGCCAAACCATTCTTTTCATCCTTTTTGGTATCAGAGCAAGGTTCAAAAACCCTAGTCCTTCTCCTTCCTTCCTCCCTGCCGCCATTACCCAACCACTGCCCAACCTGTTCTTCCCTTTCTTTCTTCTTCCTTAGGTGCCAATAGCCTCTCCTAGCCTCTCTACACCACCCAACAGCCCCTACCATTACTTTATCATCTATTTTACATGGTCCAAAATTTGCATATAATCTCTTATCCTCTTGCCAAACAATTTAATTGTGCTGTCATCTTCTTACCCTCTTCTTGCCTTTTACAGGACCTGAGTTCGAAGAGGATTTTTGGCAAGGGTTACGAGCGTGATGAGCTTTACTACTTTGGGGACCCACCAAATGAGCCTTCCTCTTCTTCTTTAGCTTGCTTTTAGGCCTCTATTTTGCCTGCTTCCATGTCTTGCGCTTTTAATATTCAGACTTTAGAATTATGGCGTTCTCGTATGAGTCATGTTAATTTTCAATATTTATGTTAATTTTTTCCTTCATTTAATAAAACTTGCAAAGACTTTAAATTTCATTGTGTGGTTGGTGAGTTGTCTAAGCATACCCGTACTACCTATATCACTCATATGACTAGGGCCCCTATTGCTTTTGATCTTATACATTCAGACGTTTGGGATCCTTTCCCTATCACTGCTTTCTCTGGTCATAGATATTATGTAACTTTTACTGATGATAACACTAGGTGTACTTTGGTTTATCTCCTTCACTAGAAGTCTTAAGTGTTTTCCATTTTTGTTCAATTTTTACAAATTGTTAAAACTCAGTTTCATATAGTTATTCGGAATATCCATTTTGACAATGATAAGGAATATATCTCTAATGCATTTCATTCCCATCTGAATCAAACCGGTATTCTTCAACAACGTACTTGTCCTCGGACCCCTGACCAAAATAGTATTGCTGAATGCAAAAACTGTCATATTATGTCTGTTGTCCGGTGTCTTCTTCGAGGTATGGGTGTTCAAAAGTCTTATTGGCATATGGTTGTCCTTACTATTGTTTACCTCATTAATAAGACCCCTAGTTGTGCGTTGAATGGTCTCACTTTGTTTCATATTCTTATGCCCACTATCACTCCATTTCCACTTACCTCATGTCTTTGGGTTTACTTGTTTTGTTCAAAATCCGAGTTCGACTCGCACAAAGTTGAATGACAAATCTATTCGTTGTATCTCCTTAAGATACGCTTCCATGTCCAAAGGGTATAGGTGTTATGACCCTGTGTCTCGTTACTTTTACCACACTTTTGTTACTTTTTGTGAGGATCTTCCTTTCTTTGATACTAACCCTCCTTTGCAGGATCCTCCAACTGTTCCTTCCACTCTTTGCCTGGTGACCATTTTGGATGAGGTTGTCCCCCTCCCTCTTTCTCAACCTTCGTCTCCTCCCCCATTGCAAGTATACTCCTGTCGCCCACGCACTCAGCCTTCCCCTACCGCCTCTCCAATCTTTAGGTCAGGTAACTCTTCTCCTTTGGCTCCTCCTCCACCACCTCGTTGTAACCCACCTCGAGATCGACATCCTCCAAATCGTTTGAGTTATTTGAATAGTACTAATCATCCCATTTCCCAGTACCTTTCCTATGACAGGGTTTCCACTTCTTACCGTTCTTTACTTGGCAAGCTTAAGTCTGAATTCATTCCTCGATCTATGTCTGAGGTCCTTCAGATGGCAACCTTAGAACAAAATCACACTCAGGATCTTGTACCTTTACCTCTTAAGGAAAGCACGGTTGGTTGCAAATGGGTGTTCACCATAAAGTACCTCACTGATGACTCAGTTGATCGTTACAAAGCCCACCTGGTGTCTAAAGGTTTCACACAAATTTCTAGCAAGGACTTTGATGCCACTTTTGCCCCTGTTGCCAAGCTTGCAGCATCCCATTCTTGGCCTCTTCATTAGCTTGATGTCAAGAATGCGTTTCTTCATGGGGATCTTCTTAAGACGATTTACATAGTTCCTCTACCCGATTTTCGGGCTAAGGGGGAGTATTCGAGAAAAGTGTGTCAATTACACAAATCCTTGTATAGTCTGATGTAGTCTCCACGAGCATAGTTTGGTCGCTTCAGTTCTGCTATTATATCTATTGGCTTTGTTCAATGACACTCAAATCAGACTTGTTTCATTCGCTGGAATTTTGCGAGCAAGTGTATAATCCTGTTAGTTTATGTGAATGACAGTATTCTCACAAATGATAACTCTGTTGGCATTTGTCAAGTAAAGAAGGACTTGAGCTAAACTTTTGATATTAAGAATCTGGATGTCTCAAATATTTTCCGAAAATCAAGGTGGCTCGCTCAAGGGAGGGTTATCTCAGCGAAAATATACCCTTAACTTGCTTAAGGATACTGGTATGCTAGGGTGTAAACACTTACTCCTATGGATCCTAATGTCAAGCTCACATCAGAGTCTGGTAAGTTGCTAGATGACCCAAGCATGTATCAACATCTTGTTGAACGCCTCATTTATTTAACCAACACTAGACCTGATTTGGCATTTGCGGTTAGTGTTGTGAGTCAGTTCATGCATGCACCTCGTACAGAGCACCTTGACGCGATTCATCATATTTTGAGGTATTTGAAGACTTCTCCTAGCTTGGGATTGTCCTTTACAGCTGGTCTCCAATCTGGGCTCTCTTATTTCACCAATGCTGACTATGCAAGCTCTAGAATTGATCGGCGTTCTACTTTTGACTTATGGTGATCATCTTAGCTCATGGAAAAGTAAGAAGCAGATGGTTATTTCTAGATATTCTACAAAGGCTGAGTATCGGACTATGGCACATGGGACATGTGAGATTCTTTGGCGCCGCTCTATTCTGGCAGAGTTAGGTTTTGAGGAGAATGTTCCTTCCTCTTTATTTTGTGATAACAAATCTGCCATTATGTTATCCTCTGATTTTGTGCTTCATGAGCGTATCAAGCATATCGAGGTCGACATATATTTCATTAGAGAAAAGGTTCGGATCAGGCACTGTGCATCCATCCTTTGTCTCTTCTTCTCAGTAGTTGGCAGATATGTTCACAAAATCTGTGGGACCAACTTTGTTCTAGTCTTCCATTGACAAACTACATGTGTTGAACATCTTCACGCCAGCTTGAGAGAGAATGTTAAATATAAAAACTAGAATATTATGTTTAAATTAGGAATTAGAATATTTTTATGTTGATTGTAGAAATCTCTCTTCTTGTTTGTATTGATTCCTAAAATTGTATCATGAATGTGTTATATATATGGCCTCTACCTCATTCAAAGGTAAGCCAAACCATTCTTTTCATCCTTTTGGAGGCTCAGATCTCTTCCTATGTCAATTTCAAGGCATTTTTGGTGGTTATCTTATGCTCAACCTAGTCAACTCTCTACCTAAGGGTGTTTTCTTGTGGCTCTTCTTTATTTCAATTTTTGAGGTATTTTCATACTATTTGTTCTCTTTGGTTTTGCATCTATTGTGGTCGAAGCTCTCTTGAGGTGTTACTGTGGTTTTGTGCACCGTTGAATCAGTTGAGTTGTTGTCAATCTGTGTTATTTCTTCATAACCATGACGGAAAGTAGTACAGGTAATAAGGGCAGCGAGAAGAGTGGGTTAATTGAAGTCATGCCTCAACTCTTGGAGATAACCTGTTAAACTAGATGGTACCAACAACTTGATTTGATCTTGCTCGTGTAGTCTAGCTATTGTTGCAAGTCGTTTGACTGATATATCGATGGTGTACCCAAGGAAACTTCTAAAGATGGGCCAACACAGAATCAATGTGTTGGAAACAAGTGGCAGCATAATACTAAAGTCTATAAACGGCGTAGCAAAGATGTTTCTAAGGCTCAAGTTGTGATTTGGCATGTGTTGGATGATGTCGGGCCACTTGGGAACTAGAATAAATTAAATTGAGTCTTCTCTCTATTCATATTTATGTTTTAGGGTCAAGGGTATTTTTATAATTTGTAGATTTTTTGGAACAGGTCTCAATAAGGGGTCATTGTGCTGACCCTGGGTCTTGGTATTAGTTTAATATGTTTAGGAGTTCTATTTGATATTAAATAGGTTTTAGAGGTTAAAATTTTTTAGTAGTTTACTTTTTTGGTTTTAGTAGTTTCCTTTTTGGTTCTAATTGGTTAAGAAAGTCTCCTAGTTCTACATAAAGCTATGCGTTGCTTCTAATTCAGTAATAAGCAGATTTTACATAATTTTCCAGAGCATTGAGCCCCTTTAGCGTTTGTGTGATGCAACCTAAACCCTAAGTGTGATGCAACCTAAATCCTAGGTGTGATTCCTAACTGATTCTAGGAGTGATTCCTAGTTTTCTTCCTCTTCTTTTTATTTCTCTGACTGTTCACAAATTACTATTTGCAGCCCATAAACAGTCTTTATTTTGTCACCAAACTCCTTTCTCCTTAAGCCCAAACCTTTCACAACAAAGCCCTACACAACCCTTAGTATTAGTTCATTAATCACAATGGCTTTCTGAGAATGTTTTTGTTACAACATGGTTGATTAATTCTATGCAACTCATTATTAGTCAGATTTTTTTGCTGTTGGATGATGCACACGAGAATTGGACCACTGTTACACGTATATTCTCACAAGGGTAATAATGCCCAGGCATATGAGTTGCGAAAAAAGATTCGTGGCTTGGATCAAAAGGATCATTCTCTGGCCGAGTACTATGCTAGGAAGAACTTGATTATTACCAGAGCTTTCAAGCAATTTGTTCCAAAGGATGCAGCTTTGTTTAAACAAATGTAGAGAAGAAACGGCTTTATGATTTTCTTGATGGCCTTAACCTGGAGCATGATCAAATTCGAGTTCATGTATTGGGCTGTGCTCCTTTTCCTACTTTCTATGAAGCTTATGCCAATTTCAACAAGAGGAGAGTTAGTGTAGTGCAATGATGCATTGCTTGAGTCAAGATCATTCTGCTTTAGTTGCTAATCCTCTTCCATGGAATGGCAAACCTAGACAGTCAAAGTTTGGTAGTAAGGGTAGTTCTATTGATCAGGACCTTCTGAAGTGTGAGTAGTGGGAAAGAGCGACATAATACGAAACATTGTTGGAAATTGAATGGTCGCCTAATTGAGGGCAGAGTGGTGCTCGCCCAAGCACGTGTCAAAGAATTATGAGTGACCTTCTAATGACACGACTCTTTTTCGGGATGAGTTGCAAACCCTCTGGCATCTCATGGCTCATTTTGATATCTCAACTAGCACAACCCCTTCTTCATCCACTTCCTCTTCCAGTTTTGCTCACACAAATAATTTTGCTACTGCACTAAGTGCCCATTCTTCAACCTCTTGGATTTTAGATTTTGGTGCTACTGATCATATGACAGGTTCAATCTTTTCTATTCTTACTTTCCTTGTCATGGTAGAGATAAGGATAGAGCCGTTGATGGCACATTATCCTCTGTATCTGCGAAGGGTTCTATTCACTGCCCCTCATTACTTTGTGTCCTTCGTGCATCATATTCCTAAATTTTTCACTAACTTACATTTTGTTGGAAGTCTTACTACTTTGAACTGCTCCGTGACTTTTTTCGCTACGCATTGTGTCTTTAAGGAACTCGGTAGGGGGAGAACGATTGGCAATGGTAAAACACAAGGTGGTTTGCATTTTCTAGATGTTGGATCTCCTTTCTTGCCGCTATCTTCTAGCCAAGCTCTTCAGACTACTACTGGATCAGCATTACCTCACTTCCATCTGAGGTATCGTCATTTGGGCCATCCCTCTTTTCGTATTTTAGAAAAATTGTTCTCTCAATTAGTGAAAGATTGTCCTAGGAATAATTTTGTTTGTTATGCTTGTGCACTTGCCAAGAATAAATGTTCATGGTTATCCTCCATATAATAACCGAAGTATTTTTTCTTTTATGCTTATTCATCAACCATGCATTTGATTGTTATGAAATTAAATTTCGTAGAAGGGTAAAATAGTAAATGCAGTTTTTCCCTTTAACGACTGTTAGCCGACAGCTCTAACGAGAGATGTTGATATAATTTCATAAACCACAGAGAGATCCCTGTAATTGTAGTAACCCATGGGGCCGGTAGTGAAATTTACCTTAGAAACAAATAAACAATGAATGCAAAGCATATACCAAAGCCGAGGGCCATGCAGAAGATATACTGCAAAACAAACACATTGATACAGAAAACTGCACTACAACAGAACTTGAAAAGAAAATTTAAGAACAAATTAATTACTAATAAAACATCTAAACCAACAGTATCTTCCCAAGAATTCAACAATTTTGTATTAACAACAAATAAATGCAAGCTGTTATTAAATAACAAAATAGACTCTGTAAACACGATCAGTTTGAACAGCCACAGATCATATACCAGTGAAATGTAAGAAATTTACCCCCATCAGCATAAGAGCCTCCGTGCGAGCCTCTTCTGTTTGTGGAACATGCATATTCATCTCATCTCCATCAAAATCAGCATTGTACGGATTACAAACAGATTCATTGAATCTCAATGTGCGCCAAGGCATTATCCTCGCCTACATGGAAAGAGAAATTTTGATTAGGGGAAAGAAGATAGTGACATATTAGTAGATTTTAGTTTTAACTGCGGTCACCCTATGGCACATGATTGACATCCGATGCAAGCTTGGTTGTCTGTTAAAAAGAACAATGTCCCCATCTTCCAAATGACGGTCAACTATGTCACCAAATTTCAAATCATCAGCAAGGCGTTTTCTGTAAGAAAACATCAAGCTCCTGCAGCATAGAAACCGGTAGACCTGCTTTAGTTCAAGTACAGGAAAACAAGGACAAAATTTAAAAATATAATTATCCTTACAACAAGTTGCCATCAGTATTTCTGATGAATCTAGCACCAGGGTATTTGTCAGGCCCATTACGTACACACTGCCTCAATTTCTCTATATTGTGATGGGAAACACGCTCTGGATAAGTTAAGGTCCGAGCCATTAAGATAGGAATAGCAACCTGGATACAATTAGTCTGTCAAGGAAACAGGATAAGCAGCTCAAAAAATTGATTCAAGCTCTAGAACAATGCCTGACCTCAGTAATCTTAAGATTAGGATCAGGGGATATAACAGTCCTGCCAGTATATTCAACACGCTTTCCAGACAAGTTCCCACGAAAACGTCCCTGCTTCCCTTTGAGGCGCTGAACAAAACCACTCAAAGGCTTTGCAGCTTGCATATGAAATGGAACACCACGTACATCACTATTTATGTACTGTGCAACCTCCATTTGCAGATCAGCCCAACCAGCCTAAACATAGATCTTATCATAAGATTTAATGACATAACAATTTGAGACCAAAGAAAACTGATGTCTATTGAAAAATTCTTCCAAACAAGAATCTAAAAGAAAAGGTCACTGGGACATATAATTTGATACGAAATCAATGAATACTATGCGAGCATGTGGAGAAATAACACTCCCAAGCAAAACCCTGTTCTAATTCAAACATTATAAAACATGAAGAATACAATTGGCAGCATAACAAATTACTTATTTAAGAAATATGTGTATCACATCAGACACAAACAAAGTGCTCCCTGCAGTTGTTTTTCTGTACAACCACTTTTTTGTCAGTATTTGCCAGGCACGTGAGACCATTTGAACCATATGCCTGTTTAACTTTATATCTGAGTAGACTTCCATGGTCAGAGAAAGTAGGAGAGTATCTCATTCTCTCTTTTATTTTCAAGCCCACTTGACTTCTTTTGCTTTTGCCTTTATGCTGTTCTGTTTGCAAAGACCAGAAAATGGTAGCTCTGTGGCACCAATTACTCAATTCAATGATTCTATCAGGTCTAGTCTGCATCACTTGACATGCCCCGGCTTCTTCCAAGACACACACAAACTTGATGAAAATGAGGCAATGCAAAATATGCCAAAAGAACTTGTAGACAAGGGCTTCATTTGCCCTAGTACATTGCCTTGGGGAGCACCGCCTCTCTTTGCGAAAAAGAATGATGGGTCATTGTGGTTGTGTATTGATTACCGCAAGTTGAATAGAGTTACAGTTAAGAACAAGTATCCTCTACCCAAAATAGATGATTTGTTTGACCAACTTAGAGGGTCTCGTTACTTCTCAAAAATAGATTTGAGGTCGGGGTACCATCAATTGAGAGTCCGAGAGGAGGACATTCAAAAGACGGCCTTTGGTACTCGTTATGGCCACTATGAATTCCTTGTAATGCCTTTTGGGTTGACCAATGCACTGGCTTCCTTTATGGATTTGATGAACAGAATTTTTCAGGAATACTTGGACCATTTTGTGGTCGTCTTTGTGGGTGATATCTTGATTTATTCAACCTCTGAAGAGGAACACGAGACACGAAATTTCAAAGTTCCCAAATGGGGAATGAAAAAGAAAATTATGACAATCACTCAACCAAACTCTAGTTTCAGTCAACTTGCCCAACGAGGGACCAACTGATTCTAACACATGAACTTATAATCACAGTTGAATATGGTACAACCAGAATAAATTATTTTGATGCAACTCTACTCACTATGGAGCAAGTGCAAGAAATAGTTAATCATCATATGCCTTAATACCAACTTTAACCCAAAAAAGAGAGAGAAATTACTAGAACAAAATCATTAGCCAAATGTGTGTTGCAGGAGGTTTTCACCAAAGATGCAACAAATCAAATCCCGTAACTGGAATTGAAAAAATTTAGAAGTAAAAATATGACATCTTGGACAACGATTAAGAATAGGATACAGCTTAACTAGAGGTCATGTTCTACAAAAGAAGCAAAAAGATTATGAGTATCAGCCAAGAGATTATCATCACAGCTAAAGCGTCAGAAATAATATTCATATACAACCATTTAAATCCAAAGGAACAAGCAGAGCGAGAAATGTTTTCATATTTTAGTGCACAGATCGACTTAACCCAAGGAATTCAGATGCAAGAACTGATTCCCCTTTTTTAGTTGCATAGAACTTAATCGACCAATGAGCTCTAAGTTCTTGTTTTCAAATCAAGCTCCATGCAATTCACCCTAGTCATGCCAAGAAACTTGAGCTGTATTTTAACAACATAAACACAGTTTGAAATGTGAATTGAACATGTTTAAAATGACTTCCCGCTCAATATATATATATATATATATGAAAGAAAAAATAAATAAATGCATAAAAAAGCATAAAATCAGAGGCGAGGATGGCATGCCAATATTATAAGGAACACTGATGTAGAATGTGAATGGGAATGTAGTACAAGACATTAAACATAGTAGCATAAGGGTAGGCTTGCATTCACATTAGTTGAATGCAATAAGTGATTTCTTAGTTAATTATTAGACAATTAACAAACAGAATCAATTAAAATGCACATCTTCCTGATTTTGAAGTTTTATATTAATGGTGTAGAAGCATATATATCACATCCTATATCAGTTGAACTCTAACTGAGCTGCCATGTAATCTACTGTATGTAGTGTTTTTTTCAAGTGAGTAAAACTAAGTCTAATAACTTCGAGGTTGTGGGTTCAAACCTAAGGACAACCATTTAGTGCAAATTATGCCAAAGGTTAGGTCTGGACACAATCTACACCTGCCAGACCCCCATCTAATGGAAAATAAGCTAGACATTTTTTTTAAGTAAAAACACTTGGGAAATAATTGGAGAAAATACTAAGACCACTTTGGATCGCCAAATATAGTGACAAAAGGGCATCATACTAGAAGGTTATTGTTTTTAAGTAAAAAAGAAATAGATAAGGAAATAGAAGGCAAGCAATATGCCAAAATGACTAGTAAAAAACAAAAAATACAAATCACACACATCTCAGTCTCTACTAATCAAGAACAAATCAATCCCCTTAGATGTTAATGCTAAGGTATCAATGTCTTATGATAACTACAAGCTATACAAGCAAATATGTGTTCCATATTTAATGTATATTAGCATTATGCATATACATATTTTTGATTTATTGGTCAGTGACTTAGTGTTGCAACATAGATTGGAATTCATTCTTAAAACTTTGCTGATAACAAAAATAAAAAGAAAAAACATAATTGACAAAGCCAAAAGAAGAACTCCGGGGGTCATGGAAGGGACCTCAGCCCTCTAAAGTATTGGGGACCTCTTGCTTGTCTCATGCCAAGTTTGGACATATATATTAGAGTGTTTAATAAGGCCTCCACTATACTATTTCCTTATGCAATATGTATGGACACTCTGAAAAAAGAAACTGCAGTTCATCATGGCAAAGAGCTTTGAAACTCCGTCTGCTCTAGCTTCATATATTGTACTAGTTTCCTATAATGATTGTAATAGAAATTGTCAAAGTGTTATGGATGTCTTTGTTTTATTTTTAAAAGGGTATTTATGTACGTTGGTTCTTATTAACATAAATATGAGAGCATAAGAGAACCCTAATTTTCTAGTTTTCTCTCATCGCATTGTACACTGTTTTTCATTTCTCCCCTTTCTTTTTTCTTTTTTTCATTTTCTTTTCTTTCAATTTTTTTTTTTTTTTTTTCCGTGAGTAGCATAGACGTATAAAAAAATTTAAAAAATGCTATATGGTCGACTAGGGGTGAGGTTACCCAGCTTTTTTCTCAAAATTTTCTAGGATGGTTTGATATTTCTTTTCTGGTTTTTGTTCTATTTTCAGGGAAAAAGGTTCGTTTTCCTAGAATGTCTTTATGAGTCTAATCTAAACATCATTATTGCTTGAGACACTCACCTTGGGTGCCGACCAACCGATCTGGAGGTTCACTCATCATTGTTGATGGTGCCTCGTAATATTTCCATGGTCAGCAGTGCTTCGGTGGTTCCTATTTTGTGAGTTTTGGGTATTTTTTCCTTCCATTTTTTTTAAGTTGATACATGTTGGGTTGTGTTTGATTACATATCTCCTATGATTGAGATCTTCTTGGATTGTTTTTGGTCTTGGACGCATGTAGAAAGTGGCAAGGGTAGCAAGGAGATTGGGTTGAGTCGTGTTGGGACACTTGGGGATTGTCCATCTCTGCAAATCAGCCTTGTTAAACTAGATGATACCAATTAGTTGATTGGTCTCATTCATGTAATTTGGCTATTGTTGCATGTCGCTTGACTGGGTATATCACTAGCGTACTCAAGGAACCTCATGAAGATGGGCCTGCAAGGACTTAATGGGCTTCAGGGAATGCTTTGGTTATGACCTGGCTGATTAAATTTATGCAGCCTACTATAAGACTTTTTTGTCAATCGATATTACTCATAAGATTTGGACGGTAGCAGCACACAGAGACTCACGGAAGGGTAATGATGTGTAAGCTTATGAATTAAAGAAAAAGATTCGAGGGTTAGATCAAAAGAACCGAACTCTTGCAAAGAACTATTCAAAATTGAGTAGCTTGTCACAAGAACTGGATCATTACCATAATTTTCAAGCTATTTGTTCTCATTATGCCACTTTGTTTTTACAAACAGTATACAAGGAATAATTTTGTCTGAGATGCTTGTGAGCTTGCTAAGCATAAACAGACTTGTTATTTCTTATTTAATAAAGGAAGTGTCTCCTTTATGCTTATTCATACTGCTATGCGGGGTCCTTCTCCTGTTGTTACCCTTTTTGGTTATTGGTGGTTTGTCACATTCATTAAGTGTTACTCGTGTTACATTGATTTATTTACATCATGCGACGAGTAAGGTTCTTTCTTATTTTAAACTTTTTCATCAAATTATGACTGATGAAGTTGATGCCAAAATCAAAATTCTTTGGAGTGACAATGGGATTTGAGTATATTGATGGTGCCTTTTGGGCATATCTTGAAAAGAATAGTATTTTGTGTCAAACTAGTTGTGTTCACACTCCAAATAGAATGGGGTTGCTGAGTGCAAAAATTGCCACCTCCTTGAGGTTGTTCGCTCCCTCCTATTTACCATGAATGCCCCTAAATCTTTTTAGGTGACGCTATTCTTACTACTACCTATCTTATTTATCGCATGCCTCTAGTGTCCTTCAGTTTAAAGTTCCTCTAGAATCTGTTCCTCCAACTTGTTCTTCTTCTCTACCCCTTAAAATATTTGGATGTGTGTGCTTTGTTCATTTGCAAAAAATACCTACATGGGAAACTTGATCCTAAGGCTTTGAGTTGTCTTTATTGGTTATTCACCTACTCATAAAGGCTATAAGTGCTATGATCCTATTATTTTTCACTGAGTGTGTATGATAGTATAGATGTCACCTTTCATGAATCTGAGTTTTTTTGTTATTCCTCTTAGCCATCTCTTCCGGGAGAGAGTGATAATA